GGCGGGCCAACGTTCACTTTCAGGTGAATGCAGATATCGCGAGACCCGCCTTACCGATTTGAACCAAATTCGATATGTGACATTCCCCTGATTTGTGACAATGTGAAGGAGGATAAATCTGCGTATAGAAATGCCTACTTCCCATGTAATACATTTTTAAATTCCAAATAATTTTTTCCTCTCGAGTATACAAATCAAGAAGCAATTAATATAACGAGATAAAATTCTGCGCGAATAATGCCCTTAACAGCCCTTATGTGTCTGAAGGTACTTTCCTGGCTTTAATCCTTACTTTTTATTTTTATGCACCTTTTGATAGAATTTTATCTAAGAATATTGCTGTGCAAGAGCATATCTACGGGTGACGAGAGTTCTGAAACTTATTGATATCTGCTTCAGTCGTGTTTGAAAAACAAGAAAAAACGCTAACTCTAGTTGTACCGAAGAACTTGATTTCGATTCAGACAGTCGACTCAGCTCATCAGGCTGATCATTTACTCATTTATGTTATAGTATATACTTTATAGGGTCTCCCACATTTTCTTTTGGGAAAATTCGTGCCAAACTATAATGATATTTTCCGGAAAAGTCAGGCAGTCAGGTTATATGAAAACTGTATATCTATTTTGATTAGTTTGAGGTGATACGAACAAGCGTTAGGTGTCCAAAATTGTTATTCTCTGTGTATCAACTGTTACAAGAATATAAAAAATAGGCTACCAGAAGAAATTGTCTTTGACAAGTGCTGGTTAATAAAAGCGAGAAAAGAAGATAGAAATCAACAACGCGCACAATTTGCTCAGTTTAGTTAGCCAAATATTGCACAGAAACTGCAAAGCAAGCAAAACCGTAAAATGTGCAAAGTTGATATTGATTAAAAAGTAACAAAAGCAAAAAGTCACATGGAAATTGTTGACAATCGGAAACTAATTGAGCGTGAACGAATAGTGAAGAGCAAAGCAAAAAGACCAAATTGATTAAGTCATCACTAATATTCATAAAATACCACTATCATGCGAAGCTTTTATATGACTGATTCTTGATCTTTTTCGAAAATCACCGTATATTTGATGCATTGATTTTAAAAAATTACCTCTCGTTTGCGAGTTGAACTCAAGTTGCATAGCGGCGCATTAAACATACGGTATTCGATTCTCTTCTCTTTTCTTTAATTAACAGTTATCGCCTACACTTAAGAACGCATTTTTTCCCAAAAGTATCACGACACCGAAAAATTCAAAAGCCAAAACCAAACTGTTATTCAAGCATTTGGCTACTTTATATTCAGCACTTAATTAGCTCACGAACGTAATTTCGGTTAAGCGCATTCACCACAATTACGAAGGATTGTATTTCGGTTGCATTTGTAAAATCTAAACTGCAAAAGTTTTCCACAGCAAATGAGCGCCGCGCACATACAACTTTGTTGTCTTCGACTTTTCATCACGTTAATGTGATTTGTTGGCATTATTGTTGTTGTTAAGTTGTTAAAATTTATATTCACCGACTTCCGTCAGCAGTGCGGCCTTTGTTACAGCGGGCTTTTAGATAACTAGTAAAGCGATAAAATGCAGAAATTAAATTTTAATTAGCTAATTCGTGAAGTATTTATGGATTCTGCTCGGAGCCGCAATAGTGTTGCATGTCACATAGTGCCTTTTGATGTGGGCCGGGGCAGATTACAATGACTGCAGGAGAGGAGAGTGCAAGATAGACTTTGAGTTTGCCGCATTTCACTTTCCAAGAAACTTTGTGATAACTTGTTTAGTTCGCTACTTTAACTGTTTATAACGGAAATTTAAAGAATACTTCTATGAATTCTTTCAATTTATTATCTACATTGTTACGTTTATTTAAAAATATAGCGAGTTATATTAAAATCGGCTAGAACATAAAAGCATGGAGCGCTAACTTCCGAATTCAGTATAAAATCCAAGGCAACCCTGACTAACACCTACATACTGTTTGCTGTTCGATTATCGTAAATTCAGTATGAGGTTTTATATGTTGCCAAATAAAAAATAGCTTATAATATTCTTTCTGATCCATTTTTCCTCCGTGTATTTACTTGATTGATATTTCGTTGTATGTATTTTGTCCAATTTAAACAACTGATACCGTTTTAATGAATTAACAAGTAAGGAAGACCTAAGTTCGGTGTCACCGAACATTTTATACTCTCGCATGATAAAGTGATAATGGAAATTTCATTATCCGTCATTTACATATTTTTTTATTTTGCTGTAAAATTAATTAGATTAGATCAATTTGTGTACTTTGAGTATTGAATTGTATTTTCATTTATTGTAATTGTATTGAAAAGTTATAGTCCGATCACGACAATTTTTCCACAAGGAATACCTCAGCTCAAATACCGTATTTATGTAAAGTTTTATTCCGCTATCATCATTGGTTCCTAATGGATATATTATACAGAGAAGGCATCAGATGGAAATGAAAATAGCCTTATATTGTGAACCGATTTCACCCATATTTCGTACATGTCATTAGGGTGTTAAGAAAATATTATATACCGAATTTCATTGAAATTGTTTGGTCCAAAGGTGGCGAGGCCACGCCCATTTTCAATTAAAGAAAAAAAGCCTGGGTGCAGCTTCCTTCTGCCATTTCTTCCGTAAAATTTAGTGTTTCTGAGGTTTTTTGTAAGTCGGTTAACGAACTTTTAGTGATTTTCAACATAACCTTGGAGGTGGGCGTGGTTATTATCCGATTTCTTCCAACTCGATGTTTTCAGTATGGTGTACATATATGCGTGCGTATAAGGAGGCTAGTGTGTGTGCGTTTACAAATAATTTTATTGCATTTCTGAAAGTTTATTACACCAAAAGCACTGTTTCTAATAGGTTCCACAAGCGGCCTTACAATAAAACTAAACTCAAGCACAAACTTCTTCTTCTTAATTGGCGTAGACATCGCTTACGCGATTATAGCCGAGTTAACAACAGTGCGCCAGTCGTTTCTTCTTTTCGTTACGTGGCGCCAATTGGATAGCCAGGTCCTTCTCCAGCTGGTCCTTCCAACGGAGTGGAGGTCTTCCTCTTCCTCTGCCTCCCCCGGCAGGTACAACTCAAGCACAAACACAAACACGAAAAAACGAAAAGAAGCACTACAAAGAACAATAATGTTGACAATTTCATCATATGTTGAGGGCAAGCAAGTAGCCAGCAAACAGCACATAAATTACCTTATTATTACAGTATATGGCATACTTTCGCGCGCAAACACGCGAGGTACGCACGAGAAGCACAAGCACACTCTTCGGCAGCAAAATATGTAAATATGCTAGCAAACAAACGAGACATAATTGAAACTGTAACATATATATGTATGCACGTGGCTATATGTAAAGAAATATGCAATATAAAATAGCAAAAGTTGGATAAAATGGAAAACTATCAAAGCCTCGCGGCTTTGCTGCCGTCAAGTGAGTCACAGTTTCAGCGAGGCGCTTGCAAGAGAGGCGCCTGTCCCCTGTAAGGCATATAGTATTTGAAGTATGTCTTTCATTTTTCCTTTTAGCTTTCTTCTTTTATTTGCGCAATGCGCTGCCCGCAGCTTACGAAGAGGCGGCATTTGCTTAGCTTTTTACATATCGGACTCATATGCATATTAATCTTTTACAAGCAATATGCAAATGTCATGCGTTGTTTAATACCTTTCCTGCGCTTTCGTCGCTCAGCTGCTTTCTCACACAAGTTGCGCATTAAAAGATCTGCGCCAAAAGCTGCCGCAAGTCTACAAGACCTGCCACTTCATGCGTTTTACTATATGCACATCTTGCAGTGTTGCTTTTGTTATTTCTACAAGTTGTTAGTACTTCAATTCCTTTCTTGTTTGTTATGACTACTTATTGTCTGCATTGTTATTTTTGTTATGATTTTCTAAGTATCTGTTGATTTTAATGCGTTCGTTACTTTGGAGGCACACACTTTGGCGTATAATGGGTTTCGTTGTTTGTCTTATCACAAGTGTCTTTATGTTTAGAAGTATGATTTATGGCAAAAAGAGTTTCATTGTTTATCGGCATTTTTAAGGATAAAATAAAAAGATTCAAAAACGACGGAAATAATAAGTTCAGATATGGAAATATTTATTATATTACATATCCTTTAAAATCAAAATTTCATTTAATATATCAGTCATCAGTCATATCATAATCAAAGCTCCCTAATATCAGGTAGCTACGGTAATTAAGGCAACACGTATTTTAATACAAATTACTACTACAGACTTCCAAATAGGCTCCTGAGCCAATGCTCCATACAATTCACTGCTTTTTCGATTTTGACTTATATTTGGAGCGCTATTCTCTAGATTGGACAGCTTCTGCAGCATTTTCAAAGAATCCTTAGCCTTGATTCTAATAAAAATACGCGTCGTATAAAAACGGCTGCTAAACAAATACAGTCTCATTGCACACGCCCAGCAGCACCGAAGCTATTGTGTCCATATTATACAGCTATGGACAGAAATTTACCGCAGTTGTACTCAAAAAAACAAATAACTACTCGCAGTGGCGAAGTTGTGTTTAGGTAGTTAATACTATTACAAATTTCAATAAATTGGCAATGGGAAAATACTGTTCACATCAAAAAAGAAGAATTATTTGGGACTTTTACAAAAACGGTACAAGCCAAGTAAAAACTGCTAATATAGTGAATTGTTGCATAAAAATGGTGTACGCTGTCATTAAAAATTATAAGTATGATCCCAACCTATTAACTCAAACCATAATTCGTATGACGCCGCCTGACAAATCAACCCCATTGTGATGATAAAATAATTGTTCGAAAATGTAAATTTTTTTCGATATTTTATTAAAAAAAAGCTTCCATACAAAAATTTGGTTTCACCCTACTGGATAAATGTGTGATTTGTGTTTAAAGTGAGTAGACGGGTTTTCTTTTTAGTCCTTGAATTTTTTGCGAAAACACATAATTACAATTAGTAAAAGTGCCATAGTTTAGGTAGCGACTTACCGGAAGACTGGACCTTTCATTTTGGATATTGAACCTAGCAAATAGATAAGTAAAATCTCATTTGTAATAAAAATTTTACTTTTTACTTACTTGCCCCTTCTCGTGGTAAATTTAGACAAAAGTACTTAAAATAGATTTTCCCCATATAACAGCGAAACAAAACGTGCACTTATTATT